CAGCTACTGTTGTTGTAACATCAGCCATTGTTGCACTAGCAAATGTTGTTGTAGCACCAGCTGTAGTTGTGTCAGCCATTGTAGTTAAAGCATCAGTTGCTGTAGAATCAGGTGTATTTGCATCAGCAACTGCTGTTGTATCACCATGTGTTATTGTTTCAGCCACTGTAGTTGTAGCATCAGCTGCTGTAGTATCTGCCCTAGTTGCGTCAGCCACTGCATTTGTGTCAGCAACTGTTGTTGTAACATCAGCCGATGTTGCATCAGCAATTGTTGTTGTAGCATCAGCTCTAGTTGTGTCAGCCACTGTAGTTGTAGCATCAGCTGCTGTAGTATCTCCCGTAGTTGCGTCAGCCACTGTTGTTGTGTCAGCTACTGTTGTTGCAACATCAGCCGTTGTTACATCAGCAACTGTAGTATCTGCCGTAGTTGCGTCAGCCACTGCAGTTTTGTCAGCTATTGTTGTTGTAACATCAGCCGTTGTTGCATCAGCTATAGTTGTGTCAGCTTCTGTAGTTGTAGCATCAGCTGCTGTAGTATCTGCCGTAGTTGCGTCAGCCACTGTAGTTGGGTCAGCAACTGTTGTTGTAACATCAGCCTTTGTTGCATCAGCAACTGTTGCTATAGCATCAGCTGTAGTTGTGTCAGCCACTGAAGTTGTAGCATCAGATGCTGTAGTATCTGCCGTAGTTGTATCAGCCACTGTATTTGTATCAGCAACTGTTGTTGTAACATCATCTGTTGTTACATCAGCAACTGTTGTTGTAGCATCAGCTGTAGTTGTGTCAGCCACTGTACTTGTAGCAACAGCTGGTGTAGTATCTGCCGTAGTTGCGTCAGCCACTGTAGTTGTGTCAGAAATTGTTGTTGTAAAATCAGCCTTTGTTGAATCATTAACTGTTGTTGTAGCATCAGCTGTAGTTGTGTCAGCCACTGTAGTTGTAGCATCAGCTGCTGTAGTATCAGCCGTAGTTGCGTCAGCCACTGTAGTTGTGTCAGCAACTGTTGTTGTAACATCAGCTGTTGTTGCATCAGCAACTGCTGTTGTAGCATCAGCTGCCGTTGTGTCAGCCACTGTACTTGTAACATCAGCTGCTGTAGTATCTGCCGCAGTTGTGTCAGCCACTGTAGTTGTGTCAGCAACTGTTGTTGTAACAACAGCTGTTGTTGCATTAGCAACTGTTGTTGTAGCATCAGCTGTAGGTGTGTCAGCCTCTGTAGTTGTAGCATCAGCTGCTGCAGTATCTGCCGTAGTTGCGTCAGCCACTGTAGTTGCATCAGCAACTGTTGTTGTAGCATCAGCTGTAGTTGTGTCAGCCACTGTACTTGTAGCATCAGCTGCTATATTATCTGCTGTAGTTGCGTCAGCCACTGTAGTTGTGTCTGCAACTGTTGATGTAACATCAGCCGTTGTTGAATCCGAAACTGTTGTTGTAGCATCAGCTGCCGTTGTGTCAGCCACTGTACTTGTAGCATCAGCTGCTGTAGTATCTGCCGCAGTTGTGTCAGCCACTGTAGTTGTGTCAGCAACTGTTGTTGTAACAACAGCCGTTGTTGCATCAGCAACTGTTGTTGTAGCATCAGCTGTAGGTGTTTCAGCCTCTGTAGTTGTAGCATCAGCTGCTGCAGTATTTGCCGTAGTTGCGTCAGCCACTGTAGTTGTGTCAGCAACTGTTGTTGTAACAACAGCTGTTGTTGCATCAGCAACTGTTGTTGTAGCATCAGCTGTAGGTGTGTCAGCCTCTGTAGTTGTAGCATCAGCTTCTGCAGTATCTGCCGTAGTTGCGTCAGCCACTGTAGTTGTGTCAGCAACTGTTGTTGTAACATCAGCTGTTGTTGCATCAGCAACTGTTGTTGTAGCATCAGCTGTAGTTGTGTCAGCCACTGTAGTTGTAGCATCAGCTGCTGTAGTATCTGCCGAAGTTGCGTCAGCCACTGTAGTTGTGTCAGCTACTGTTGTTGTAACATCAGCCGTTGTTGCATCAGCAACTATTGTAGTAGCATCAGCTGTAGTTTTGTCAGCCACTTCACTTGTAGCATCAGCTGCTGTAGTATCTGCCGTAGTTGCGTCAGCCACTGTAGTTGTGTCAGCTACTGTTGTTGTAACATCAGCCGTTGTTGCATCAGCAACTGTTGTTGTAGCATCAGCTGTAGTTGTGTCAGCCTCTGTAGTTGTAGCATCAGCTGCTGTAGTATCTGCCCTAGTTGCGTCAGCCACTGCAGTTGTGTCAGCTATTGTTGTTGTAACATCAGCCGTTGTTGCATCAGCAACTGTTGTTGTAGCATCAGCTATAGTTGTGTCAGCTTCTGTAGTTGTAGCATCAGCTGCTGTAGTATCTGCCATAGTTGCGTCAGCCACTGTAGTTGTGTTAGCAACTGTTGAAGTAACATCAGCTGTTGTTGCATCAGCAACTGTTGTTAAAGCATCAGCCGTAGTTGCGTCAGACACTGTAGTTGTGTCAGCTAGTGTTCTTGCAACATCAGCCGTTGTTGCATCAGCAACTGTTGTTGTATCGTCAGCTATAGCTGTGTCAGCCACTGAAGTTGTAGCATCAGCTGTTGTAGTATCTGCCGTAGCTGCATCAGCCATTGTAGTTGTGTCAGCTACTGTTGTTGTAACATCAGCCGTTGTTGCATCAGCAACTGTTGTTGTAGCATCAGCTGTAGTTGTGTCAGCCACTGTACTTGTAGCATCAGCTGCTGTAGTATCTGCCGTAGTTGTGTCAGCCACTGTAGTTGTGTCAGCAACTGTTGTTGTAACATCAGCCGTTGTTGCATCAGCAACTGTTGTTGTATCGTCAGCTATAGCTGTGTCAGCCACTGAAGTTGTAGCATCAGCTGTTGTAGTATCTGCCGTAGCTGCGTCAGCCATTGTAGTTGTGTCAGCTACTGTTGTTGTAACATCAGCTGTTGTTGCATCAGCAACTGTTGTTGTAGCATCAGCTGTAGTTGTGTCAGCCACTTCACTTGTAGCATCAGCTGCTGTAGTATCTACCGCAGTTGCATCAGCCACTGTAGTTGTGTCAGCTACTGTTGTTGTAACACCAACCGTTGTTGCATTAGCAACTGTTGTTGTAACATCAGCTGTAGTTGTGTCAGCCACTGTAGTTGTAGCATCAGCTGTTGTAGTATCTGCCGTAGCTGCGTCAGCCATTGTAGTTGTGTCAGCTACTGTTGTTGTAACATCAGCTGTTGTTGCATCAGCAACTGTTGTTGTAGCATCAGCTGTAGTTGTGTCAGCCACTGTACTTGTAGTATCAGCTGCTGCAGTATCTGCCTTAGTTGCGTCAGCCACTGTAGTTGTGTCAAAAACTGTTGTTGTAACATCAGCTGTTGTTGCATCAGCAACTGTTGTTGTAGCATCAGCTGTAGCTGTGTCAGCCACTGAAGTTGTAGCATCAGCTGTTGTAGTATCTGCCGTAGCTGCATCAGCCATTGTAGTTGTGTCAGCTACTGTTGTTGTAACATCAGCCGTTGTTGCATCAGCAACTGTTGTTGTAGCATCAGCTGTAGTTGTGTCAGCCACTGTACTTGTAGCATCAGCTGCTGTAGTATCTGCCGTAGTTGTGTCAGCCACTGTAGTTGTGTCAGCAACTGTTGTTGTAACATCAGCCATTGTTGCATCAGCAACTGTTGTTGTATCGTCAGCTATAGCTGTGTCAGCCACTGAAGTTGTAGCATCAGCTGTTGTAGTATCTGCCGTAGCTGCGTCAGCCATTGTAGTTGTGTCAGCTACTGTTGTTGTAACATCAGCTGTTGTTGCATCAGCAACTGTTGTTGTAGCATCAGCTGTAGTTGTGTCAGCCACTTCACTTGTAGCATCAGCTGCTGTAGTATCTACCGCAGTTGCATCAGCCACTGTAGTTGTGTCAGCTACTGTTGTTGTAACACCAACCGTTGTTGCATTAGCAACTGTTGTTGTAGCATCAGCTGTAGATGTGTCAGCCACTGTAGTTGTAGCATCAGCTGTTGTAGTATCTGCCGTAGCTGCGTCAGCCATTGTAGTTGTGTCAGCTACTGTTGTTGTAACATCAGCTGTTGTTGCATCAGCAACTGTTGTTGTAGCATCAGCTGTAGTTGTGTCAGCCACTGTACTTGTAGCATCAGCTGCTGCAGTATCTGCCTTAGTTGCGTCAGCCACTGTAGTTGTGTCAAAAACTGTTGTTGTAACATCAGCTGTTGTTGCATCAGCAACTGTTGTTGTAGCATCAGCTGTAGTTGTGTCAGCCACTGTATTTGTAGAATCAGCTGCTGTAGTATCTGCCGTAGTTGCGTCAGCCATTGTAGCTGTGTCAGCTACTGTTGTTGTAACATCAGCCGTTGTTGCATCAGTAACTGTTGTTGTAGCATCAGCTGCTGTTGTGTCAGCCACTGTAGTTGTAGCATCAGCTGGTGTAGTATCTGCCGTGGTTGCGTCAGCCACTGTAGTTGTGTCAGCTAGTGTTGTTGTAACATCAGCCGTTGTTGCATCAGCAACTGTTGTTGTATCGTCAGCTATAGCTGTGTCAGCAACTGAAGTTGTAGCATCAGCTGTTGTAGTATCTGCCGTAGCTGCGTCAGCCATTGTAGTTGTGTCAGCTACTGTTGTTGTAACATCAGCCGTTGTTGCATCAGCAACTGTTGTTGTAGCATCAGCTGTACTTGTGTCAGCCACTGTACTTGTAGCATCAGCTGCTGCAGTATCTGCCTTAGTTGCGTCAGCCACTGTAGTTGTGTCAAAAACTGTTGTTGTAACATCAGCTGTTGTTGCATCAGCAACTGTTGTTGTAGCATCAGCTGTAGTTGTGTCAACCACTGTAGTTGTAGCATCAGCTGCTGCAGTATCTGCCTTAGTTGCGTCAGCCACTGTAGTTGTGTCAAAAACTGTTGTTGTAACATCAGCTGTTGTTGCATCAGCAACTGTTGTTGTATCATCAGCTGTAGTTGTGTCAGCCACTGTATTTGTAGAATCAGCTGCTGTAGTATCTGCCGTAGTTGCGTCAGCCATTGTAGCTGTGTCAGCTACTGTTGTTGTAACATCAGCCGTTGTTGCATCAGTAACTGTTGTTGTAGCATCAGCTGCTGTTGTGTCAGCCACTGTAGTTGTAGCATCAGCTGGTGTAGTATCTGCCGTGGTTGCGTCAGCCACTGTAGTTGTGTCAGCTAGTGTTGTTGTAACATCAGCCGTTGTTGCATCAGCAACTGTTGTTGTATCGTCAGCTATAGCTGTGTCAGCAACTGAAGTTGTAGCATCAGCTGTTGTAGTATCTGCCGTAGCTGCGTCAGCCATTGTAGTTGTGTCAGCTACTGTTGTTGTAACATCAGCCGTTGTTGCATCAGCAACTGTTGTTGTAGCATCAGCTGTACTTGTGTCAGCCACTGTACTTGTAGCATCAGCTGCTGCAGTATCTGCCTTAGTTGCGTCAGCCACTGTAGTTGTGTCAAAAACTGTTGTTGTAACATCAGCTGTTGTTGCATCAGCAACTGTTGTTGTAGCATCAGCTGTAGTTGTGTCAGCCACTGTAGTTGTAGCATCAGCTGCTGCAGTATCTGCCGCAGTTGCGTCAGCCACTGTAGATGTCTCAGCTACTGTTGTTGTAACATCAGCCGTTGTTGCATCAGCAACTGTTGTTGTAGCATCAGCTGTAGTTATGTCAGCCACTTCACTTGTAGCATCAGCTGGTGTAGTATCTGCCGCAGTTGCGTCAGCCACTGTAGTTGTGTCAGCTACTGTTGTTGTAACATCAACCGTTGTTGCATTAGCAACTGTTGTTGTAGCATCAGCTGTAGTTGTGTCAGCCTCTGTAGTTGTAGCATCAGCTGCTGTAGTATCTGCCATAGTTGCATCAGCCACTGTAGTTGTGTCAGCAACTGTTGCTGTAACATCAGCCGTTGTTGCATCAGCAACTGTTGTTGTAGCATCAGCTGTAGTTGTGTCAGCCACTGTAGTTGTAGCATCAGCTGCTGTAGTATCTGCCGTAGTTGCGTCAGCACCTGTTGTTGTGTCAGCTACTGTTGTTGTAACATCAGCCGTTGTTGCATCAGCAACTGTTGTTGTAACATCAGCTGTAGTTGTGTCAGCCACTGTACTTGTAGCATCAGCTGCTATAGTATCTGCCGTAGTTGCGTCAGCCACTGTAATTGTGTCAGCTACTGTTGTTGTAACATCAGCCGTTGTTGCATCAGCAACTGTTGTTGTAGCATCAGCTTTAGTTGTGTCAGCCACTGTACTTGTAGCATCAGCTGCTGTAGTATCTGCCGTAGTTGCGTCAGCCACTGTAGTTGTGTCAGCAATTGTTGTTGTAACATCAGCCGTTGTTGCATCTGCAACTATTGTTGTAGCATCAGTTATAGTTGTGTCAGCCACTGTAGTTTTAGCATCAGCTGCTGTAGTATCTGCCGTAGTTGTGTCAGCCACTGCAGTTGTGTCAGCAACTGTTGTTGTAACATCAGCCGTTGTTGCATCAGCAACTGTTGTTGTAGCATCAGCTGTAGTTGTGTCAGCCACTGTAGTTGTAGAATCAGCTGCTGTAGTATCTGCCTTAGTTGCGTCAGCCACTGTAGTTGTGTCAAAAACTGTTGTTGTAACATCAGCTGTTGTTGCATCAGCAACTGTTGTTGTAGCATCAGCTGTAGTGGTGTCAGCCACTTCACTTGTAGCATCAGCTGCTGTAGTTTCTGCCGCAGTTGCGTCAGCCACTGTAGTTGCGTCAGCCACTGTAATTGTGTCAGCTACTGTTGTTGTAACATCAGCTGTTGTTGCATCAGCAACTGTTGTTGTAGCATCAGCTGCTGTAGTATCTGCCGTAGTTGTGTCAGCCACTGTAGTTGTGTCAGCAATTGTTGTTGTAACATCAGCCGTTGTTGCATCAGCAACTGTTGTTGTAGCATCAGTTATAGTTGTGTCAGCCTCTGTAGTTGTAGCATCAGCTGCTGTAGTATCTGCCGTAGTTGCGTCAGCCGCTGTAGTTGTGTCAGCAACTGTTGTTGTAACATCAGCCGTTGTTGCATCAGCAACTGTTATTGTAGCATCAGCTGTAGTTGTGTCAGCCACTGTAGTTGTAGAATCAGCTGCTGTAGTATCTGCCGTAGTTGCGTCAGCCATTGTAGCTGTGTCAGCTACTGTTGTTGTAACATCAGCCGTTGTTGCATCAGCAACTGTTGTTGTAGCATCAGCTGCTGTTGTGTCAGCCACTGTAGTTGTAGCATCAGCTGGTGTAGTATCTGCATTGGTTGCGTCAGCCACTGTAGTTGTGTCAGCTAGTGTTGTTGTAACATCAGCCGTTGTTGCATCAGCAACTGTTGTTGTATCGTCAGCTATAGCTGTGTCAGCCACTGAAGTTGTAGCATCAGCTGTTGTAGTATCTGCCGTAGCTGCATCAGCCATTGTAGTTGTGTCAGCTACTGTTGTTGTAACATCAGCTGTTGTTGCATCAGCAACTGTTGTTGTAGCATCAGTTGTAGTTGTGTCAGCCACTGTAGTTGTAGCATCAGCTGCTGTAGTATCTGCCATAGTTGCATCAGCCACTGTAGTTGTGTCAGCAACTGTTGCTGTAACATCAGCCGTTGTTGCATCAGCAACTGTTGTTGTAGCATCAGCTGTAGTTGTGTCAGCCACTGTAGTTGTAGCATCAGCTGCTGTAGTATCTGCCGTAGTTGCGTCAGCAACTGTTGTTGTAGCATCAGTTATAGTTGTGTCAGCCTCTGTAGTTTTAGCATCAGCTGCTGTAGTATCTGCCGTAGTTGTGTCAGCCACTGCAGTTGTGTCAGCAACTGTTGTTGTAACATCAGCCGTTGTTGCATCAGCAACTGTTGTTGTAGCATCAGCTGTAGTTGTGTCAGCCACTGTACTTGTAGCATCAGCTGCTATAGTATCTGCCGTAGTTGCGTCAGCCACTGTAATTGTGTCAGCTACTGTTGTTGTAACATCAGCCGTTGTTGCATCAGCAACTGTTGTTGTAGCATCAGCTGTAGTTGTGTCAGCCTCTGTAGTTGTAGCATCAGCTGCTGTAGTATCTGCCGTAGTTGCGTCAGCCACTGTAGTTGTGTCAGCAATTGTTGTTGTAACATCAGCCGTTGTTGCATCAGCAACTATTGTTGTAGCATCAGTTATAGTTGTGTCAGCCTCTGTAGTTGTTGCATCAGCTGCTGTAGTATCTGCCGTAGTTGTGTCAGCCACTGCAGTTGTGTCAGCAACTGTTGTTGTAACATCAGCCGTTGTTGCATCAGCAACTGTTGTTGTAGCATCAGCTGTAGTTGTGTCAGCCACTGTAGTTGTAGAATCAGCTGCTGTAGTATCTGCCGTAGTTGCGTCAGCCACTGTAGTTGTGTCAGCTACTGTTGTTGTAACATCAGCCGTTGTTGCATCAGCAACTGTTGTTGTAGCATCAGTTGCTGTTGTGTCAGCCACTGTAGTTGTAGCATCAGATGCTGTAGTATCTGCAGTAGTTGCGTCAGCCACTGTAGTTGTGTCAGCTACTGTTGTTGTAACATCAGCCGTTGTTGCATCAGCAACTGTTGTTGTAGCAGTTGTGTCAGCCACTGTACTTGTAACATCAGCTGCTGTAGTATCTGCCGTAGTTGTGTCAGCCACTGTAGTTGTGTCAGCTACTGTTGTTGTTACATCAGCCGTTGTTGCATCAGCAACTGTTGTTGTAGCATCAGCTGTAGTTGAATCAGCCTCTGTTGTTGTAGCATCAGCTGCTGTAGTATCTGCCTTAGTTGCGTCAGCCACTGTAGTTATGTCAGCAACTGGTGTTGTAACATCAGCCGTTGTTGCATCAGCAACTGTTGTTGTAGCATCAGCTATAGTTGTGTCAGCCACTGTAGTTGTAGCATCAGCTGCTGTAGTATCTGCCGTAGTTGCGTCAGCCACTGTAGTTGTTTCAGCTACTGTTGTTGTAACATCAGCCGTTGTTGCATCAGCAATTGTTATTGTAGCAACAGCTGTAGTTGTGTCAGCCACTGTAGTTGTAGCATCAGCTGCTGTAGTATCTGCCGTGGTTGCGTCAGCCACTGTAGTTGTGTCAGCAATTGTTGTTGTAACATCAGCCGTTGTTGCATCAGCAACTGTTGTTGTAGCATCTGCCGTAGTTGCATCAGCCACTGTAGTTGTGTCAGCTACTATTGTTGTAACATCAGCCGTTGTTGCATCAGCAACTGTTATTGTAGCAACAGCTGTAGTTGTGTCAGCCACTGTACTTGTAGCATCAGCTGCTGTAGTATCTGCCGTGGTTGCGTCAGCCACTGTAGTTGTGTCAGCAATTGTTGTTGTAACATAAGCCGTTGTTGCATCAGCAACTGTTGTTGTAGCATCAGCTATAGTTGTGTCAGCCTCTGTAGTTGTAGCATCAGCTGCTGTAGTATCTGCCGTAGTTGTGTCAGCCACTGTAGTTGTGTCAGCAACTGTTGTTGTAACATCAGCCGTTGTTGCATCAGCAACTGTTGTTGTAGCATCAGCTGTAGTTGTGTCAGCCACTGTAGTTGTAGCATCAGCTGCTGTAGTATCTGCCGTAGTTGCGTCAGCCACGGTAGTTGTGGAAGCTACTGTTGTTGTAACATCAGCCGTTGTTGCATCAGCAACTGTTATTGTAGCATCCGCTGTAGTTGTGTCATTCACTGAACTTGTAGCATCAGCTGCTGTAGTATCAGACGTAGTTGCGTCAGCGACTGTACTTGTGTCAGCAACTGTTGTTGCAACATCTGCCGTTGTTGCATCAGCAACTGTTGTTGTAGCATCAGCTGTAGTTGTGTCAGCCACTGTAGTTGTAGCATCAGCAGCTGTAGTATCTGCCGTAGTTGCGTCAGCCACTGTAGTTGTGTCAGCTACTGTTGTTGTAACATCAGCCGTTGTTGCATCAGCAACTGTTGTTGTAGCATCAGCTGTAGTTGTATCAGCCACTGTACTTGTAGCATCAGCTGCTGTTGTATCTGCCGTAGCTGCGTCAGCCACCGTAGTTGTGTCAGCAACTGTTTTTGTAACATCAGCCGTTGTTGCATCAGCAACTATTTTTGTAGCATCAGCTGTAGTTGTGTCAGCTCTTTTAGTTGTAGCATCAGCTGCTGTAGTATCTGCTGTAGTTGTGTCAGCAACTGTCTTCATCTCAGCAACTGTTGTTGTAACATTAGCCGTTATTGCATCAGCAACTGCTGTTGTAGCATCAGCAGTATGTGTGTCAGCCACTGTAATTGTAGCATCAGCTGCTGTATTATCTGCCGTAGTTGAGTCAGCCACAGTAGTTGTGTCAGCTACTGCTGTTGTAACATCAGCCGTTGTTGCATTAGCAACTGTTGTTGTAGCATCAGCTGTAGTTGTATCTGGTATTGTAGTTGTAGCATCAGCTACTGTATTACCTCCCCTTTTTGCGTCAGCCACTATCGTTGTTTCAGCTACTGTTGTTGTAACATCAGCAGTTGTTGCCACTGTTGTTGAAACTTTGGCAATGCTTGTATAAGACAGTGTTGTTTTATCATCAAGTAACGCCGTTGTTGTTTTAGAATCAGCAGTAAGAGTACCGCCCGCTGTTGTTGTGGCCTCAGCAGTAGTAGTCCCATCCACTGTGTTTGTAGCTTTGGCATTTGAGTTGACATTAGACGATTGAGTTACACCGTCATTATCAGAAGTTAAATGTTTTGTTACTGTGGAGGATATTGCACCTATTGTCATTGCATCTGTGGTTGTTCCCGTAGCTACCTCATCTGAAATTAATGTATTTAATCTACTTGTACTACTACTACTTGGACTTACCTCAACTGTTGTGTAATCTGTACTTACATCTATTGTTGTAGTCCTAATATTTTCATTTATACTCTCCGTGGTTGCTGTTATATCCTCTAATCTAAGTGAACTTGTTGTATCATCTGTTGGCCCCATGGGATCTGTAGGGTCGTAAATAGATTTCGTTGACATATCTGATAGAGTGGTTGAGTCTGATATTGAATTTGTAGCGGGGCTAGCACCAATTTCTGTATTCACAGTAGCTGCACTATTGGTGTAATAATTAGTACTCATTGTGGAGTCACTATTGATAGTAACAGAAGTTTGACCATCATTAGTAGTTATATCCAATG